AAGGAAAGACAACCCCAAAGGTCTCTGCACACACGCTCCAACCGTGCCTGTTCTCAGAAGCAGAGAGAGCCCCTGGGAGAGTGGATCAAATTACCCACCTGTTGTCCCTGGTGGTGACGTTTCAGGTGTGGATGTGGTGCCCCAGGATTCTGCTAGTAGCATGAGAGACAAAGCCAGCGTTAGGCATCAGTGAAAGAGTCCTCGATGAAAACATTGACGAGCACCGTGACGACCCCACATGTGCACCTGCCGCTCGCGACCTGTGTGTCCTGCTCAAGGCTCCGCTCAGCGAGGGCGTCTGGGAGGCAGGCCCTGCGGGACGGCAACCTGCTCCCCGCTCACCTCGACGCCTGGCACATTCGCGTCGCTGCTAGAAAATCTGTTCTAACTCCCAAGCTGGGCCTCGTGCCCCCTGGCAGGTCAGAGGGCTTTGCCCAGACTCTGCAGCTTGGACGGAAGGCGTCAGGGGCCGTGGTGGTGGGACCTGCAGCGTATCACGTGACGAGGGGACCATGATAGTGTCATCCCTCTGGGCACGGTCTCCGCCCCTCAGGGTGCCCATGTGACCGATCTGAATCTCAGCGGCTGGCAGGCAGTGAGGGACACTCAGTATCCCCTTGGTCTGACGTCAAGGTAGGAGAAGGTGAGGGCTCACCTGAGCAGATGACGCCGGCGTCCTCCCCGTGGTGACAGTTGTGTGAGTTCCAGCCTCTGTGCGGGCAGCTCCACAGGTAGGACTCCTGTCCTGAGCAGCGCACGTCGTCCAGGACAATCGGCCCTGAGCCCTGACCAAACCGCGCACTTCCTGGGGCCGACCTGGCCCAGCCACAGCCCAGCGGCCTGCACACCCACACCACGTGCGTCGTTGGTGTCCCAGTCGTCGTCACACACGGTGCCCCAGGAGCCTCGGTACAGGACCTCCACCCGGCCCTGACACCGGTCACCTCCGTTCACCAGCCTCAGGGACAAAGGTGATTCTGACCCGATGTGTATAGGGGGCACAAGGACAACACTGCCTGTCTGTCTAAGACACACAGATCGGAGGCCTGACCCAGACCCAGGGGCCCGCCTCACGGCCACGATGCCCTGGCCAAGAAGCCGGGCATGGCCATGCCCACAGGTCAATCGTCATCTCAGGGAAAGGAGCTCACATGTCCCTGCTGCCCAAGTCTGAGGATGCTGCAGTGTCAGGAATCACCCCTGACCCTGAGGGAGGTGAGCCAGATCGCCCCCCACCACACGGAGCACAGTCAGGGTGCAGCCCACAGCTCCAGCCAGGCCAACACTGTCCCCACTAGTGCAGCTCGGCGGCTCCCGCTTCATCCTGGTGGGCTCTGGCTGAGCTCCAGGAAGGGACAGGGATGTGGCCAGACAGCTACATGACAGACACTTTCACACCCTGTTCCCTGCCAGGTGCGTTGGCCTGAGACAGGAGCGAGGTCCCAGCAGGACGTGCCTGGTTGCAGGTCTTGTTCCGAACAGTGGACGGGCATCCCTGCGGAGCCCATGCCCAGGGGCCCGTCACAGGGTGGTCACAGCCCTACATATGCGATGCTCACCTGTCTTCATACACCCTTCCTCTGACCCCTAGACAGGGCCCAGGATAAGGAAGGACAACCCCAAAGGTCTCTGCACACACGCTCCAACCGTGCCTGTTCTCAGAAGCAGAGAGAGCCCCTGGGAGAGTGGATCAAATTACCCACCTGTTGTCCCTGGTGGTGACGTTTCAGGTGTGGATGGGGCGACCCAGGATTCTG